GAGGAGCGGGGCCCGTCTGCCTGGCGCCGCCGGTTGCTGCGCCAGCCTTCCGTTTGTAGCAACATATGTAGTTTCGACGCGGTGCTCGGTGTCAGTCGCGCGTTCGCTGAGGCGGCCTTGCTGGAGATGGAGCTGCTGTTCTTGTAGCTGCCGGGGCCGGGGGCTGCCCCGCGCCTCGCCTCGCCTCCAGCGCGGAGCCCCGCTTTGGGAGCCAGCTCTTCTCGCTGGTTCTGGGGTGGCCATGCCGGCCACTGTTGCCTTACCTGGCTTTAGTGTCCCCAGGTGCCCTGTGCTTGGTCCTTCTGGGTTAGTATTTGGGAATACAGTCTTATGGTCCCCGCAACTGACCAAGAAAGTTGCGTTTCCTAACAGGAAAAGTCAACTACCTGCGTGTCTGAATTTTCTCATTTTTAGTGATAATCAGCTGTTTGACTTCTCTTTGGTGAGTCCAGAGATGACTTGGTGTATGGTGCAGTCAAGGGATTCCAACTGACCTACACCCACTTAGCATTAGTCTGACTGGATTGTTTAGTCTAGAAGTTATTACCAGTGCTTCCGAAAATGTTTTTTTGTAATGCCGTTGGCAATTGCCTTGAACTTTGGATAAGCCAGGTTTCTTCTCTATTTCTTATTTGCTGAAATAAGTTACTCTGATTTGGGTTTGAGAATGCTTTCATCTATAACCCCTTGCTGACTGTCTCTGTTCTCTCCATAAGGTTTTCTATTCTTAGAATCATAGAATCATTTAGGTTGGAAAAGACCTTTTAAGATCAAGTCCAACCGTTAACCTAGCACTGACAAGTCCACCCCTAAACCATGTCCCTAAATGCCACATCTGCATGTCTTTTAAATACCTCCAGGGATGGGGACTCAACCGCTTCCTTTGTGCAGTTTGGGAAAGGAATGGGTTATCCCATTTTAATATGTTACACAAAGGTATCTTTTTCCAAATTTCCATTTTTCCCAGTAGTGATCTAAATGTTAATTTTGGGTGCTACTTCTTTCTTGCTGTCCGTAACAGTTAATTCTCCTCACTTCTTTCTGCAGTGCCTATTGTTGCTTATGCAAATGTTAACTTGTTTCTCTAAAACTTGCTTTTACAAGTTTCTATAATTTTTCACATTTACTTTGCCTTCGTTTGGAATTCCAATTTTCCACTTTTTTCTCTACCTCACAATATCCTGCTTCTGTTTAAGGCAAGAGGACTGTAGGTTGTAGTAGTCCCTCTACTAGTTTTCCTTACAGAGTTGTTTCTGTTGTGGACAGGGAGGACAGAATTACAGTTACCGATGATAATTTATTTGAAGCATGTTGTTTACTTTACAGAATTATGAGGATGTCCGCTGTAAATGCATCTGCCCTCCTTACAAAGACCACTCGGGCCATATTTACAACAAAAATGTTTCACAGAAAGACTGGTAAGTGTGTGTTGCATAAAAAAAGTTATAATGAGCCTTGCTGGTTAAAGACTTGTTCCATACTGCTAATACGTGAGTCTCTATGGTAGTGCCAGGAGAAATTACATCTCTTGCATAACTTACTGGAACTTTTCTTTTAAAAGTACTCCAGAAATCAGCTCTAGCAAGGGACAAGGCTTGAAATCTGTAGTTTTTCCCTATCTTCTGTTTTTGTTTGTTTGCTTACATGTTTAGTTAGTTATTTAGACTTGGAAGCAGTAGAAGGGAGTAGGGTGTTACAATTTGAATTCAGTGATTTGAAATGGCAAGGGAGCATGGCTGGGGAACTAGGACTCAGGATTGTTGTCTCCTTTTTCCGCTCTTGAAACCCATTCTGTCATTTAGAGACTGTTGTTTCTGGACATCTCTGTTCCTCAGAATTGCAGCCAGAGAGTGCATGACATGGCCTGAGCCATCTAACAACATGTTTTTTGAGAGGGAGGGAAGGGGAGGGAGGTCTTGCATATCTCTGCCCCAGCAACGTCCTCCATTGTGTCCTCCATTGTATTCTTTAGGCCGGCTATGGCATTTGTCAGATTCCTCTCCAAGCTGAGGAGTGATGTGTGTGGCTGGTGATGAGGGGTTGGGGAAGAAAGGAAGAGGACAGTAATATGTTACATTGGTATAGGTCCTTTGTGTAATTTCACCTTAAGTATTATTGTCTCTGTGAATCATACAAATAAAACACCATGGTTTGGAGTTGCTTTGATGTTGGAAGTGCTCAGAGATTCTTGGGTCAACCTATAAAAATACTTCTTGATGTATTGGCTCTTTTGCAGTTACATTAACAATTCATAAAAGACTTTTCAGTCTGACAAGTAGCAGCAGGTTGGAATCTTGATTATGAAAATTTCATGCCCCTGAGTAGGCCCACAAAAATAATTATAGGAATAAAATTAGTGATACAGATATGTGTAGAGCTGTGCCTTAACTTATTAAATTACTTACAGGAGAACTGTTAGAAACAACACTGTAAATTTCAATCTAAACTAATAAACATAAAATGTACTGTCCAGTTGAAATTACTATTTTTGTCCCACATGATTAACTTAACAACATTAGTCCTACTATGACAAATTAAGATGCAGCAATGAAACATACTGGGAGAATTCTAGCTGCAGCAGACATTTCAGAGTAGCAGTGTTACTGGCTTTATTTTTCATTATCACTCTGCAAATGAAAATGGATTTCAGTGCTTAGTGTGCGCCTTATTAGCAGAAAAGACCCTGTTTCCCTTTAAATCAATATTGGTACTGATTGAAAGAAAAATTATCTTTGAAGGCTTGACTAATTTTTGTGGTGACAGATACTCATGCATACAGAATCTCAAATCTATTTTCCTATCTTAAATCTTGTTTTGTTGAGATAATTTCTTAAGTGACCATCTGGGAACATTTTATGGCTTTCATCTTCTGTTTGAGGTATCTTCCTGCCACTTCTAAAAGGCTCAACTGCTAGTTAACGTGCATTAAAATTGACAAACTTCGTGCCATACTTTGGCTTCTGCATCAGTGCAAGTGACTTGTTACTGAGTAGAACTGGCTGATGTGCACCATCCTTTAGGTATTTAGATCAGTTACTTGTGAGACAAGAGCCAGATCAATTTTTAGTGGTTTTATGAATTATGTACAGTATAATGACCACTTACTGATGGCTTGTCCAGACATAAAATGAAAATCTAATTTTTAATGTTGAACCTGTAATGTGCATTATGATACTCTTATTTGGAGGCTTCGGTTCTTTTACTTGGAGTGGTCTGTTCTTTGGCTTCAGAGTGGCAAACAGCACACTATGCTAACATCAGTATGGGCTGGAGTGCTTTGATGCCAATAAAAGCCTTCACCCTGCTCAATTGAGGTTCGGAACTATTGCAGGCAATCCCACCCTGATGGATAATGCGCTAGGCAAGCACGGTGATGCCTAAGGCTAAGCACCTACAGGGTTAAATAACCCACTTAGAAAGTGTTGGTGTTTGTATTTTGTACTTTGAAAGTATTGGTGGACAGAGACCAAGTGCAGTGGTAGTCATGGTCACGGAGGGAGGACACCCTGTCTACAAGCTGAATGACCTGGAAATCTGTCTGTGCAGAAGCTGCCCTCTGACTAGCCTGGCTTGCCTTGGAAGAGCTACTTCCTTGGTGCTGTTATTGTGGGCACAAGGGAGAAGGTGGTAATGCAGAGGCAGCTGAGTGGCAAAATAATTTAGAAAAGGATTAGCCTTTTCTACCGTTTCCTCTAAAATTGCCATGGAATCACAGTGCAAGGAAACACATTGTCAAAATCCTAAAGTTCTGATAGATTGTACACTTCTTAGCAACTTGAAACACTGAACTGGAGGAAAAAAGTGCTGATGCTAAGATTTGATATATTCACAGTAACAGACTTACTACTGTACAAGCTTTCTACTATACTTTCGCATCAATGTGCTGCACACTTTCAATCATATGAACAGAAATTGTATACATTATGACTTGCATGCATTTTTGGTTTTGTAGCTTGAATGCTGCACTCCCCCATGGAGGAGAATGTAATTCTACTTTCAAATAAATGAGAAAATTAAGCCTTCTGCTCCCTTCCAGAGGATATGACTCGACAATCAATAGTTTTAGTTATGAAGAAGAAACACAAAGAAAACAGAAGAGATGAGCTGGTGTCTGGCCATGTGTTTGCAGCATTGTAATCTAGCCCAGTGGAGTGTTGAATCCTGGGCTGCTGCTGTCACTTAGGGTATTTTGTTTCATTGCCTCCTTCTGACTGTGCTGACATTGAGTTAACCAGGATAAAGGCAAAAACATGATTTTTTTTTTTGTCCTCTGCAGGGACTCTGGGATGTGAACTCTGAACAGCCAACCTGAGTCAGCAAAAAGATGCAAATTACATAAGTTATTGGTGGAAGCAGTTGTCTCATGGCAGCTGGATTTTAGTGCTGTGATATAGAGTGCCCATAAGATTGTCAGCCATGCTTTTTTGTCATGGGACTGAATTATATTTTTGTAATCTTTTAAGTGATAATGTGTTTTCTCATCTGGGTCTGGTGCTGAAAACTGAATGCTATTTATCGACTATTTTGTTGCTTAGAGAAACAACCCATCTGACTTGTGTTTTTTTCTTCAGTGCCTGTAACTTGTGATGGCAAGAAAAAAGAACTTCTGTTCAAGAACACCAAAGAGAGGTTAATCTCCCTTCAGATAGTGGAAGGATAGAATAAGGCTCTTTTGAATGTGATGAAGAAAGAAGTGTATAGCTGGAATTACTTTCATCCATTATGTCAGTGTCAAATGATGCATTCGTGCTGGGATTCAAATCCTTGGACTTGTTATGCTACCAGCTTTAATACTTTCACTGAAAAATGAAAACATTGTATTGAGTTCGAAAGGTCTTAAAACTTTTTTAGCAGCTTGTCAATAGCTGAATTTCTTGTTTAAGTAAAATAATTGTGGAGTAGTGATTTATTTATTTACTTTTACGTCTTGGATACCTCTAATTTAGAATGGCTGAACTTAAGCAAAGGTGGCTTCTCACCTCATGCAGCTGGGGTCTGTACGCGTAGTGGAACAGGTAAGCTAAAACCAGCTCAAAAGTGACTGAACAGTTTCTGTCTTTCTTCAGTGATTGTCTTCATGTGGTTGAGCCTATGCCTGTCCCTGGACCTGATGTAGAAGCATACTGTTTACGTTGTGAGTGCAAATATGAAGAGAGAAGCTCTGTCACAATTAAGGTAAACGATGTAATTATGTTGTCACATGTTAAATACATTAACTGATTAGTAAATATGCTTGTTGTCTTTTAGAGACATATTCTTTTTAAATGGAGAATTTTTCTAAAGCAGTCTAAGATTTAACTTTTTTTCATGATAGTTGCTCATAATTTATCTTGAGTAGTAACAATAGCATCAAGCTATAGCTGAAGGAGTGGGCTTGAGATCCTTTATTGAAGATCTCCACTTTTGAGATTAAGCTTTATACCTTGCTGAAATTCTGAGTGTTCTAGGGTGTTTTGTCTAGGTTTGGACTTCATGTTTTTGTTATTATTTTAGAGGGTCTCTCACTAGTCAGCTGTCTTGCTTGCTTACTATAAACTTTCTGCATACAGTGGCAAGCTAAAAAGAGCAAAATTATCCATGATTGCTCTAATAGATGATTTCTGTATTCTTCGCATTCTTATCCTATTGGAGCCATTTAGCCCTAGGCTGGGGTGAATAGGTTGTGCAGTGCACCTTTTCTTTTTTCTTACATTATTATTATATATATATATACAGACTCCTTTTTTTGGTCTTTTAGAAGTTTGGTATTTCTTTTTGCCTTCACATTTTTCTTAGCGACTGTTTGAATGCAGATCTATGCTAGAGAATGGAGACCATACAGGAACCCCCAGGTTTGTCACCCCAGTTTAATGGCCAAACTGAACAGCTGTCTTGGTTGAGGTGAGATTTATAACACCAAGTTGTTTTAAGAGGGATAGCGTAAGATATTTAGCAAGGCCTTACTAAGAGAAACTGTTTCAAGCTAACATCTGTCTGCCATAAATCCTTCTAATACCAGGTTGTAGTTTGGTGGTTTTTTTTCTCTGTGGATTTTAAGTCATCTGGTGACATTACCAAAGATCGACAGGCTCATCACAAACGTTGCACGTACTCTTCTTTTGGTCCTTGCTGCATGCTGAGAAATTGTGGGGGGAATGTCATAATTCTGGCATAAACTGTGCTTCCATTGTGTAGGTTACAATCATCATATACCTGTCTATTTTGGGCCTGCTTCTTCTGTACATGGTGTACCTTACACTGGTGGAACCTATACTGAAGAGACGTCTCTTTGGACATTCACAGCTCATACAAAGTGATGAAGACATTGGGGTGAGTTCACCAGAGTGCTCGTGCACTTGGGTTAACATAAAGATTGGGATGGTTAGTTGTTAAATAACTGTTCGGGATGAGCAGCTTTTTTGCCAGGCAGTGTAAATGCTTTTCCTGAAGGGAGGGGAAGAGAAAGCTGCATGATGACTTCTATGAAGCCACTCTTTCATTTTTCACTGGGCTAGAAAGTAGTAAGATGAGGACTGCTTCAGTTATCCCAGCGCTAGACACAGATTATTTTCTTAGAGAAGAAACAGAGTAGGAATGGAGGTAAGCATATATAGGAGGTACAAATTCTTAAGTGTTAATGATCCATACAGTCTGTTAGTGATCACATTTACACAAGTTGCTTATTGCTTAGATTTCTCTCTACAAAAAGAAAGAAGGTTTGCATCTTCTGTCATTCCAGTTTGAATTTGTTGATGCTAAAAATGCAAGAAGAAATTATTATTATGAAGAAAAATAGTGATTGACGCTTAGTATTACAGCTAGAAACAGAATGTGACAGTATATTCCAACAGATCAGAACAGCCTTTTTGGGGAGGAAAAGAGGAGTAGTCCATTAGTGACTTTGGGAAGGCTGGTAATGACAGGAAACCATCTCCAACGTAGTGTTTTTGACTTCTAGTAAAAATGGAACAAAACTGGCTTCAGTACCATTAAAAGAGGGGAACGCAAGACCTTACGAAAGCTTATATTGTAAAGAGTGGGACGCTTCAGTACATGATCAGTGTGGATAAGGAGTACTGGTTGGTGGGAGTAGGTCATCTGTGTACCGAAGGGGGGCTTAGAATAGTATAAAAATATGGGCTATGGCTTTGGATTTGATGAATTTCTGTGCTTCTGAACATGATGAATCTGCATGCCTGGGAGAGGTATTGCCTTAAAGTACTGTGAGGAAAGTTTTCTAAAATGGCAGCTGGCTTGGTGGTTAAGTGTCAGTGTTGAACCACACAAACTGATAAAACAGTTCTGAAGTCTCAGCATTGATGTACTTTCTATACTGAACCTTCAAGCGTCACTGCTTTTACTGATAAATTATGCTTCAGGTGTGGTGTAACCTTAGAAAGAAGTTCTGAAACCAAATGCAGAGTATGAAATGGGAAGATTGCTATCTGCTTAACCCAAGCCTTTCAGCAGACACAAGCACTTGATTACTGTTGAAGTAAATGGGAGCTAGTCAAACCCAACATTTATGTGTCTTGCAATAGAATCGTTAAGAATATTTTCGTCATTCCTTCAAATAAATTGGAAGTTAATAGGAGGAGTTAAATAAGTTGTTCTTGGTGAAACAAAACTATTATGGCAACACCTTTTAAAATCTGTTTCAAAGCCCTGTAGTTCTGACTGCCTGTTGCTTTGGTGGCTTCATAGACCTGAAGGTATCAAAAGCAGTAAATGCTATGCTCCGTTATGCTGTATCTGCAAATTTTAATGTGAGTTGCACTCAGATTCTCCAGGTTGTTTTTTGTTTTGGAGTAGCAACTGTCATTGCTAGTAAACAGAGAAAAAGTATATTCTTTAGTTCTACAGTTTTGTTTCATCAACAGTGGCCTCATCAGCCGTCTTGACTTAAAAAGGTGTTTCTGTTCTGCAGAGTGGGTATATTAAGTATTCCAAATTGAGCATTTTCCTAGACAGTAGCTTTTATCAGCTGTGCCACCTTTATTTACCTTGAGTTCACCACAAAAATATGTGGCTGTTACCCAAGTTTGAGCTAACATTGACTAGAGTTAAGGCTCTTTGGACAGAGGTATATTATTGTTATTTTAATATAATAATAATCTTATAATATATATCCCACTGTTTCTGCACTTCCTTGTGTACTACATGGAGACGTATTCCAAATGTCTTTGCATTGACATCTTAAGATTTTTCTAGTCACTTCTAGGAGGATACTGGGTGGGGTTTTTTGTGGAAAGGAGGGATTTGAATTACCCTTTTTCTGTCTGCATTATTACAGCTAATTGGGCAGATTCCTAATTGAATTAAATGAACTTGTGCTGTATGCTATACCTCAGAAAAATTATTTTTATTTTATACCTTAGATAAATTATAGTCATACCTCCAAATCTGGGTTAGAACCTTCTGATTATAGGTGGAAGAAGTGAAATAAGTCCCGTGGCAGAGCTCAGGTTAACAGTAGAATGAGTTTACCTTAAAATCTGAATCCATCTTAACCAATTTCATGTTTTGCTGTAACTGTTACTGTGACTGTTACTTGAGCTTGTGGAGTCACTGGTGCTTATCTGCGCTAGTACTTGGAACAAAAAGCACTTCAGGTCCTTCCTCAGTTTATGTTGCTCCTTTGCTGTTTATCCTCCTTCTGTGACAGTGAATGTGAAATAATTTAAGGTCCCTCATGACTTATCCACATCCTTGCCTTCCCTCTTGCAAGTTCTTGAGGTATTGATCCTTGTCAAACTGTGGACATAGCCTGCGCATTAATTTTGTTGCTGAATTTCAAGCCAGTATATTTGCTCTTTCTCATTGCCAATTGATGGCAGTGGCAACAAAAGAATGGACTCTTTCCTCTTTAAATTCTTTTTTCCCCTTGTTGTCCACATAGACATTGACAGTAGCTAGCCTTTGAGCTAAGATTGTTGTTTATCAGAAAGCCAGTACCATCTAGCTTGTCCTGTGTTCTCCCTTCCACCATCTATTTTATGGCAGAAATGTGTTGCTATTGTGATTTTGTTTCCCTGTGAATGAAGTCACTTGTTAACTGCCCATTCTAGGTATATCCAACTGCATAATTTTTTATGGTGAGACTGTAGGTCTTTGGGTCAGGGATTCTCTCTTGTTCTCTGTGAGCATATTTCTTAGCCCAGTGAGGCTTATGTGTGGCTTTGGGACTAGTAGGCATCACTTCAGTGGATATAGTTAATGATAATCTCTGTGCTACTAAGAATTATCACTGAACTACTCTGTACAGTCATGTCACAAATAAAGTATCCGTTAATCTAAATGTCTTCAAAAGTGTTCTGGGGAAAAAAAAAAAGAAGGGTAGACATACAAAAAAGACAGTTATTTGATACAGGACATAATTACGTTATTTTCATTATGCTTTGTATATATGATGCTTTCTGACGTAGTTTAACCAACATTACTTTGTCTAAAATGGTTTGATAGCCAAATAAGTTCAGTTCCAACTCCTAGTATTTATAACTTGGTTATATTTACTAGAATAAAATAAAGCTTTGCAGGTACTGTTAGAAAACAGAGTAAATATTAAACAAGCACTCCGTTATTGTTGAGCTCTGTCACTTAAACAGCTGTATTGACACTGTTCCTTTAGACAGCTGAGTACAATGGATTTAGTTTGGTAAACATCAGAGTGTGTTGGTTTTATGTAGAAGCTGTGTGTGAACACCCCGAACTGCCTGATGGTAAAAGGCCAAGAGCTGGCAGAGAATTGACTTTTTAATTCAATTTTAAAGTGAAGTGCATTCAAGACAATAACAGGAGGCTCCCAGAACCTGGGTCTGATCTAGGCTTCTGTCCCACCAGCTGCAAACGGATGCAAGACTGTGGTTCTGATCTTGCTATGATGTCTTGCTATGGTAGTAGATAATTGTACAGTACAATGAAGCTTGGTCTATTTAGGAAACCTGTGGAAGTTACTTTGCATGAGAAATTAAAGTACAGTTCTAACTACTCAAAAACTTGCTTCGTCATTATTACTCACCAGCTTGTTGAGACAGCGTGTTTACCCATCCTTTGGCAGGTAACTACAAAAAAGATTAATGTAATTGCTGAGTGGAATTTTTGAGATCTAACTAATGATTTTTGCCATTCCAGGATCACCAGCCTTTTGCAAATGCACATGATGTGCTGGCTCGTTCTCGGAGCCGTGCCAATGTATTGAACAAAGTGGAGTATGCCCAGCAGCGTTGGAAGTTACAGGTCCAAGAGCAACGCAAGTCTGTCTTTGACCGTCATGTTGTGCTGAGTTAATTTTGTCTCAGTAAGATAACTCCAGGGAAGTAAAGTGGACTAATTGAAAGAGCTGACTTACGTCTTCCTGATCCTGCCAATTCAGAAGGGTTCTCTTGAATGGTTCATTATTGATTTAAAAAAAAAATAAAAAAAATAGAGAAAAGCATTTGAACTTTGAAGGAATGTACTGGAGTAGATGCAATTTTAAAAGATTAGTTAACCAAAAGCTAATATCTTTACCTTTTCAACTGGCTTTTACTAATGAAACTGAAAAGAAAACAAACCCTAAGACATCTTGGGTTGCTACTGTGGTACCTTATTTACAGTTGTGACTTTATGGTGGTTTTTAACTATATATTTCTCTTTACCATTTATGTGGTTAAAAAGTACCTGGGAACACAGTAATTACTTACAACTCACTAATCACTTTAAGACCATTTGTAAATATACTTTGATTTTTCTGCTGACTATTGCTAGGTACTGGAAATCTAAATCTTGCGGTGTAGTTTTCATACCAGAGAATGAAATCCTGATTGGCTGTATTCATCATTTGGTTTTCTTGCACTCGTATTTTCAAGATGCTTGTATGTCAAGTGATGTTTGCAGATTTAAGGCAGAACTTAAATGGACACTGACTCTTTGAGCTGCATACTTAAAGTACTGTGATGTAGATAAACTCAAATGCAGTGCATATCAAGACAGTGTTGGCAGTTTGTTCTATTTTGCTTTAATAGCTTAATATATTGTATGTGTATGATATCTCTTAAAAAAAAATATTTTCCCTTCTTTTCATGGGTAAAGTCTCAGGAGTTAGTATATGATGAAATATTTATTATAAAAATCTTCCTGCATTTGTCTGGATTGATGGTGTAAGGCACATACTTTCTCTAGCACCTGTCATCTTGGGAGTTAGGTGTATTTTTTTATCTGTGATTCTGTACTCATCTCTCTTAAGAGGTATACAGTTGCTAGATGACTGACTTTCATATATCCCCTTTGGAATGTAACAATTAAAGATAAAACTGATTTTTGAAAAATGGATGTGCATTACCTGTATGTCATCATTTTTCTCCCTCATTACCCTGCATGTAAATTCCATCTATAAAAGCACTTCTCTGAAAATGCTTCAGAGTAGAAATACGCATTTGTTCAGTGCTTAGGTAAAGGAAAAAGTCTCGCCAAACTGCTAATTCAAAAAAGTTTTTAATCCCTGACTTAAATTTAGCTATACGTATGTAGTTACATTATTGTCTGATACAGTTTTCAGTTCCAGCGTGGAAGGAAAAGGTACAGGGAACAGTACTATATGTTGCTGGGTGCAGTTTTGGCTTGTGTAGCCCACAGCCTGGGGGACAGAGTAGCATGGGAAAAACTGTACCTGTACACATAGCTCTGCCACGTCAGGGGTGGAAACATATTTGTCCCATAACAACATTTGCACTGACTGCAGCTCTTGCAGATACAGAACTTCATTCTCTACTCAGTTCTGTAGTCTTCCAAAAACTGATAATCTGGAAGGAATTATAATGGGTGGCTACTTGGTAGAGGCACCAAGTTGTTGTTATGACAGTGATCTACCTGAAGAAAAATCATGTAGCTTGTTTGTTGAATATATGCCTGCCTACCAGTTCTAGTAGATGTTCTACCTCTTGGCTGCCGTTCTGATGAGGCCTGAAGCTGGTGTGGGAAGGAGGATGCAGAATACAGCATTGTTGTGGCCCCACACAAGGGCAGCGGGAACAGAATGCTTTCTCTGATGGCTAGCAATCCCAGGAAGTTGAGACTGGGTGTATGTAGCTCTCCTAGGAGTAGATCAAGTGTTTCTAATCTTATACTGTCTTCTGAAAGCTTTAAGCTAAACTGGTTTGGTTTGGGATTTTTTCTGTGGCTTTACTTTGATAGAAGGTCCAAATAATGAGATAAAGAATTGAAGTAATCCTATAAAATGTGGGAGTTTTGGAGTTAGATGTCAGATTTCCTCGCACCTGTACAACTGGACATCTATGTGCTGATATAGGTATATACAGATGCTACATATATATATTTGATTATACTGACCGATTGCTCCATACTGTGTTTCTAAGTTTAAGCAAAACTTTAAGACATTTGTCTTGCTACTGATTGCTCACCATTTTCAAATCTTGTCTGGTCTACCTCTATAAATGCTTTATTAGAGACCTCTTATATGGTTTTGTACTTCTTACCTGTAATTTTGGGAAATTCCCTTAGTGTTATAATGAAGATTAAATTTGAGGGTATTAAGCTAACTAATATGGGTCCTCACCTCTAATCTGGAGACAAATCTATCACAAGTTTCTTCTAAATAAATGCTGATTTTCTGTGTCTAAAATGAAGCTATGAAAATTAGTTTGCTTATGCCTCAGTGATAAAGACTTAATTAAATTCTAGCCAATTGTTATGTTTTGACATTGAAGTACAAAATGCCAATAAATGAAAATACTGCTTTTAGTAAACTGTAACAGAATACATACAGGAAGTAAACAAAGTACATTCCTGATTACTTTTTCAGGTAATCTGGTTGTGTTCAATACAGTTTTAAAATTTCTAGCCCTTAATGCCAAGTTTTGTTGCCATCATAGCTGTGGTGTGGGTGGAAAAGCCAAACCAGAAGTGAGCAGATCTAACAGTAAGCTACTTTGCATGTTGTCAATTGACTATAAATTGCAGCAGTCATTGACTCAGCAGAACAAAGCTACATAATTCAGGTAAGAGACTTGTGTATTGCTGTATCTAGCCACAGATCTTCACTGAATATGAATGTTTTTGTAAATCACTTCTACCAGCTATTCAGTAACAGTGCTTCCATAGCTTTTTAATGAATAGAGTTTAATATGTTATCTTATTTAATAAGGTGTAAGAAAAATGGAACATTAACTTCTTTTTCTAATATCATTCAGATATTTTCAGGTATTATTCATCAGTCTTAAAATAACAAGTCTTGTTTCCTTGGATTTTACTTTCATCTGAAGATTGGTGAGTCTCTAGTCTAAAAGGAAAACAATCCTAACACTTGCATTTTGCACTTTGTGCGGGTACTAAGGCAGCAGATAACTGTTGTATGTAATGCTATTGTGCAGCAGAAGTGTCAGTACAAAGCAACAAATACTGCAAGTATCTCTTCTTGGGGCATTGTGTTGGTTTGGTTTCTTGCTCTGTAGTGATGTTTTGCGATGAAGTTTTGGGATTTTTTTTTTTGCTATGTAACAGACTTTTTTCCTCAGACACTGTTAAGTTGTTAGCAGTAGAAAGTTTTTAGACAATAACCCAACCTGTGTAAGTAGAAAAGGGAAAGGTGACTGCCTACTATTTTCATTTTATAACAAGTGTATATATTCACCTCTGATTTTCTGCATTAATGTAAAATGGATGTGTGTTTGTGCTTTCAGCCTACCTGGAGAATTGCCTGTTTAAGATGTGTGTGACTTTCTCTCTTGTCTAACAGCATGCTATAAATGAATTCTTAACTCATAGGATTGCTGTCGTGAGATCTATGTGCATTAGGAAGAGATACCACTGAATGCAGAGGCATTTTGATAGAGTATGTTGTGAGAATGGGTCCATACCGAGTAAAAATTCTCTCTGTATTAAATGTGGCAGGTATGAAGCCGTTAGAATATGTTAAAATATTCCCATACCCTTGTGAAAGATTAAGGGGATCCCATTTATGTTATGGAACCATTTGAAGCTTTGCAAGGTTTTTATGAGTATGGATTCTAGCTGTTTCTAGTAACCTAGTTAAATGTTCAGATGTGTTTTCCATTTTAGAGGATGTAATATAACCTAACTGTTTCAGACAGCAATGTATAGATGTGGAAGTGGATGGTGAGTGAGAGCATTTTTTGATAGATTCTGTGTCGGCAAGTATTGCGTGCAATCCCTGAGGATGGATCATAGTAATTCTTTTTAAATTAACTAGTTATTTAAAGTTTATTTTTAAGTAGCTATTACATAACAATTATTACAGTTATGCTGATACTTAGCTGTTAGAATAATGATATTGGGAAGGTACTATAATGTAGCTTCCTATAAAGCACTCCGAGATTATCTTTCTAACAAATATATCAGGGTGATTTGAGTAGTTACTCCTGCTGTGATGCTGCTCTGAAGAGAGAGTATGTGATTTTATTAGGCCAGTCTGAGTTACAGGCTTCTAGCAGTGGCCCAACGACTGTGTGCAGTCCCTTCTTTGTAAAATAATTTATAATTGGAGCAATATTATTAGGACATGCACTTTTTCCTTTAATAAATTATTTCATAATCCTCTATCAGGATTGTATTTAGTATTTCATATCTGTGTTTAACTTGCAGGTGAGCACAGAAGGAACATGAACACCCAAGGAGAAGTCAGGTTTAGCAGAAAATCATCCTCTAAACTTTTTGTAGAACTTCTTTTTTAGAATGGACGTAATACCTGACAGACATAAAATTAAAAATGAGATCCATTCCCTACTCAAGTTTTCCATCTAATTAAGATCGCGTAGAGAGTGAGACATCAAATGAATAGAGAGGAAAAAATAATTTGTCTTTGAAGGCTTTGTGGTATGGATAGGGAGTCTGTTCCTGGAATTGTAGATTTAAATTCTTTCAGGGAGGAGAAGGGGTGGAGAGAATGCCTGATGCTGGCCTGCTTTGTTTTTTGTCTGTAGAGATGTAAGTTTTGGTGGATTTGCAACAAGCTAGGCCTATGTGGAGCACATAAAGTTAGATTCTCTTCATTTCTGATGCTGAGGTGAAAGGATACTGTTTGCTGTTTCCTTTAGGAAGTTTTAGTGGCTTTTTTTTTCTTAAAATCTGTTGTGAATTGTTTTAATCAGTGTTGCTGACTTGTACTTTCTTGTATTTTCAAATGGGACATTGTCTGCTCTACATAACGATCTTCCAACACCATTCTGAAATGTCACAAATGCACTAAAAGTCTCTTCTGGAAAATGCCAGTGATGCCAAGTGTTGGTAAGCCCAGGTGAGTTTTTTCTACTGTTTGGTATGAGTTGTTTAAACTATTATGTCATTACACATTTCCAGGTTAAATGCAGAACCTGATGGATGGCAAAAGCTACCGTAACCTCATGGACAAGTTATCCATCTGTACTGAGACTCAGCGCATACAGCTGGCTAGGCCTTTCTGTGCCGACCCGGTGGTCGCATTTCATGTTTACCCAGAAACACCAAACCAGGTCGCTTGCTCTGAAGATTTGTCATTCCTTCCTTTCCTGTCTGTGCA